TGATCCGCTGTCGTATACTATAAGACTAGAGGATTTTGGGATGTAAACCAGAGCAAAAAATAAGTAAAAAACAAGAAAAGTGGATAGTCGGAGCGGAGCGGTCAGGAAGGCGTCTGGACGTGGCCGCGCCATCTTGTCGAATCATCCAAATCATCCAAGTACTCACATGTGACACCGTTGCTAATACATTTGCATTGGCTCCCCATTGAATTCAGAGTCCATTTTAAGATTCTGGTTCTGACCTTTAGAACTCGTTATGGACAAGCACCAGCTTACATCATTGGACTTCTACAGCCCTATGTCCCTAGCAGGTCCCTGAGGTCATGTGATCAGGGCCTACTTGTTATACAGCACACAAAGCTGAGAACTAAGGGAGACAGAGCTTTTACCACTGTGGCCCCCAGACTGTGAAACTCTCTCCCACTGAGCTTAAGATCTGTAGACTGAGTCGTCTCTTTTTAAAAAAAACATCTAAAAACTCATCTTTTGAGAATTTTACCTCAGAAACACAGCTGAACACGACTCCAGCTCACTCATCTCTCTGAAATGATTTCTCTACCTCCTCATATGTGATTCCAACTCTGCTAAAGTTGAACTTCCCACCGACATCCTGAAATATGGACAAAAGCAGCTGCGATAAAGCTTCAACTCCTGGACCAAAGCATAATATTCTCCCTGCTGCTGAGAACTAGATGAACCCAGAATCTCAGTTTGTTCCTGTTCTTCTTTAGGAAGATCAGCACCAGCTCATCATTGCTTCATGTCCACTACATTATTTCTAGTTTGTTATTTGAGGAAATATTTTACACAAAATTGCTGACAAAACGTGTTTCGTCAGTTTGTAGGTTACACCACAAGTTTGGATCTGTAAAATTCAGAATTTTATGTCGTTTTGATGCATTTAGTTCTTTACAATAAACATTTAAAGGTTGGTGTCCTACAGTCAGGTGACCTTTGTCCCCTTTTCCCACCAGCTGAAACTCCTTCTGAATGGGTGACTGGAGCAAACTGTATGGAGTCCTGGAAAAGGTCCAGGCCTCATCCAGTAGGTGGGGGAAGTTCTGGCTGGCACTCCTCATCTTCAGGATCCTGCTTCTAGGCACTGCGGTGGAATCTGCCTGGGGGGACGAGCAGTCTGCCTTCAAGTGTAACACCCAGCAGCCCGGCTGCCAGAACGTGTGTTACGATAAATCCTTCCCCATCTCCCACATGCGCCTTTGGGTTCTTCAGATCGTCTTTGTGTCAATGCCCACACTTCTGTTCCTTACTTGTGTTTATAGTAGGAGGAAAGTTTGGAAAAACAAGAAAAACATAGATCTTAAGAGAGCATGCGAGCCAATTCCAGAAAATTCTTATTATAATAAATTTGATAAAAATGTTATTGAAAAATCTTTAAAGATAATAGAATTCATAAATAAACACTATGTAATTATGGAAGAAGACAGGGAAAATGAGATGAGTAAAGAACTGTTTAAAATCTATGCAGTCAGTATTTTCTTCAAGTTTCTGTTAGAAGTGGCCTTCCTGGTTCTTCAGTGGTGCATTTATGGCTTCACTCTGAATCCAGTCTACATCTGTGAGAGGGCCCCATGTCCACACCGGGTGGACTGTTTTTTGTCCCGTCCCACAGAGAAGACCATTTTCGTAATTTTCATGCTGGTGGTCTCACTGGTGTCATTGGTGGTCAGCATCATTGAGCTCTGCAGAGTACTCTGCAACAAAAACAACCAGGATACTGATTCATGTGAGAGGGAGCAGAAAGAGGCCAACCATTCCTTAGAGCTGAACCAGTTTGATCAGAACGATGGCACAAACCCTCCATCAAAAGGTCATTCACAATATCCCCAAAATGCTCCTGATACCTACATCGACCTCTCACAAAGAGAGTACGTGGATTGCTGAGCTGTGATGAGCTACAGTATTCGATGCCATAACAGCAGGAGAGTGAACAACTGATCCGAAAGGAGCATGTTTAAACTGTGGTTTCCACCTCAGACTGACTGACAGAACTTGTGTCTTCAGCCAGAAACATCAGGAGACATTTGATCTCACAGGTTTATGTGAGACTGACTGAACATCAGAACTTGTTGTGTGAAAGTGTCAGAGGTTTGAGTTTTAGAGGTGTTTTCTTAAATCATATGTTGTTAGTGTTGTAAACCCAACAGTTATGAGAGTTCTGAGTCTCAAAGAAACATCTGTTCAAGAACACAGACACATTGTGACACATCAAGTTTTACTTACCAACATCAAACAAAACAAAGGAATATTCATTGTTCTGGTTTCAGTCACAGTTCCTCCTGTTTTTCTTCCAGCTGGACAGTTTTTGCACGATGTCTGAGAGTGTCTTTGTTTTCTTTACACCAGAAACAAATCAGGGTGTAAGATCAAATGTTTTCTTTATGTTCAGTCATGCAGTGCAGTGTCACGTTCTGATTAATCTGAGGAAGCTGCATCATATCTGTACATCTAAAGTCCATAAACAGTCAGATTATTGAAATCTGAAACAGCACAATGACTTTGGGATACCAACAACACTGTTCACACCTGCAGTTTGTTGTCTGGGTTGGTATGTTTTATAAGCAGATGTTCCTTTAATTTTTTTTGTCCCAAAGATGTGTTCCTGCTGATGTACTTTTACCAGCTGGCGTCTCCAGTTTAAGATTCAGTTCGTCTCTTTGTCTCATCAGAAAGTTGTAATCCAGTTTTACAGATTTACAGAGAAACAGGTTTTCTATCTTAGTGTTTATTGGCAGGCATCTGTAGGACAACCACACCTTACATCCACTCCTTTACTCCTTACATCCACTCCAAACAAACTTTATTTATTGACAGTAAGATATTATTTTAACTACTTCAGTCACCGTGCATGTGTTGTTACCTGATAAAATTTAAATGTTTTGGTTTAAGGTTGTTTTTTGGGTGTACAGAGTGGCAGAGATGATGGTTTAGTTCATGTTTATTCCTTGAAGAGACTTTATTACTGTGATAACTTTTATATTTGTTAAAAAAAAAAAAGGACATGTTCTCAAACAGAATGACAATCTCTGTTTTCTTTAGTTCTGTGGGGATTGTTTACCACTTACTGCTTGAGAAGGGAATTTTTAGTTCTGTAAGTCAAGTAACAAACTGAAGTTTTTAGAAGACTGCTTAGAGATGTGAACTAATATTTAGTCACTTATAATAAAAACATGACAGTGTAGCTCTAAAACTACAAGCACTGGGATAAAACCTCAACTCTCTTTACTGTAGGTTTGCTCAAACTGTCAGTTCATAATAATTTTGTGGGTACTTACATGTGTAATGGATCTTTTGGGTACACTGATCATTTGCACTGAGAACTCGGTGATGGATATGTGTGAAAAGAGTTTTGTAATGTGTTTGATTAAACAGTTGTGGGTATATCGCTTAACAGCAGGATGTGTCTGTGGTTTTTACAAAAATATTTATTTGTTGTTGTTTTGCTGTTTAGTGTAAGCACAAGAGTGTACATGAAAACAGGTTTTACTTGTGTGTGTGAAATGTATGAACCAATACAGATAATACTAAAAGATAATACTGTGTTTTTTTGAGCTTTGATGTAGATTTTGTGTCACTGCAGGCTGTTACCAGCCATTATCACTCCTTATCAGCCATTATCAGCTGTCAGCTTATATTCAATTCAATTCAATTCAATTTTATTTATATAGCGCCAAATCACAACATAAGTCGCCTCAAGGCCTTCATCATCTCACTTTGGTCATTATATTATATTTATTATAATAATAATGGATTGGATTTATATAGCGCTTTTCAAGGCACCCAAAGC